ACAAAACGATGAGTCAATACTAATACTGAATAATATTACTTTAATTTATATAATACAAGAGAAAGAAAAATGACCGTTCAGACATACGTTTATGTTCTTCTAAATCTGACAAGGGACACAACTATATAACAACTTATCTTCGTCATCATCACGTCCCGGGTCAACTCACTTTTGATTTCATACCTTCCTTTCACTTATATCAACGTATGGTAAAGCTGAATTTCAGAACCTTGATGTATTCTGAAAAAAAATTAATCTACTCGACTTTAATAACTTTAATTCATTACTTTTTTCGCAATAATAATATATTACGTGCATTAAAAAATGTAATAACATGCGTATCATTTTGAGCATGTATCACTTTAATGTTCTGGAAAGAATACATAAAACATGTTGTAAATACACCGCATATATTGTTGATAAAGGAGCATCGCATAATTTACTATCATTTTATTTTTATGGACAACAACTATTTGATATATGAAAAAGGGTTCACACAAGGCAGCAAACTTATTGCGTGATGTGAATAATTTAACAAATAATTAAATATTTTAACACCATAAACGAAATAGTTGTTATAATATTGCAATTAGAATGATAAAAGTTAAACTATATAAGAAACATTATAGAAGAGTGTCTCTATATGTATAATTTTATGAAATGCAACTTTTTTTTTATCTATCAACAAAATGGATTCGAGTATCGGATATTCCATCTAAACGTTTTTGTCAATAGGAACCTTTAATAAGTGTGCTATAGTTTCCGATTTTAGTTAGTGCATTATGATTACAAAAATGTAAAAAATGCATGCTATTTTAATATGTCTGTGAAATACGTTAAGTCTTACTATTTAATAGTTTTTAGTGTTTGAAATTTTTTTTTCCAATCGGATTGCAGTATTCCAAATGAATCGTAACACATTTATTTTGGTAAATTGTTAATCAGTCTAATAAATCGATTGTTTATAAAAATATTTTAAAACACGAAGCTGGTTAAAATTTATAAGTACGTATTTACAAAATTATCAAAGTCTTCTTATCATCATATGTCGCCATTTCTGAAACAGATAAGATGACGAAATGTCAAATTTACGGAATACCGTTAGGGTCATCGTGGTTCTACTTTATAATCAAGATGGCGACAATTATGTTATAGCTTATGACAGCTTTTGAACCGTAAGTTTCTTTGGTTGTTATCTTTCTTATTTCAAAGCGTTAAGTACCGTGAACTAAGAAGTGTATATGTAAGTAATATGTTATGTCACTAACTATTGAGTTCGGTAGACGTACATGTAAGATATTTTCAACTGATACTACTCCAAGTTGTCGATATAATTTTTATTAACGCCGTGCGAAAGGTTTTAAATGTTGATTTACTGTTTTATCAATTCAGCTGAAGGACGAATTTAACCCTATGAATGAGTTTTACACTGATTTGAGCTAAAGGAGAGGATTTCAGAACATGCAGTTGTTAAATTGTGTGTGTTTTTTTAAGTTTAAGCCCTAATACCGTGTGTGTGACACGTGACTATCGATGACAACTTGGCAGCGCCTTCTCATACTCCCTGTTTGGTTTCTGTTCGTTCTAACGGGTATGGCTGCCCATTCTTATACCAACATGGCTCCAAGCTCCTGGGTGGCTTTGGGTTGCAGATGATGAGCTGAAATTCTAACCTGTTGCTTATTCCACATGTCGTATATTGGATTTAAGTCAGGTGAGCGAGCTTGCCAGTCCATGTACTCAATAGACTCCCTCTCTAGGTAGTCCTGGACCACCCTGGCCATATGGGGCGAGCTTTATCGTCCATTAGAATGAACTGATCGCCGACTGCTCCAGCATGCAACCTATCCTGGTTTTCTAAGATGTCGTCAATGTCGCGCTGACCTGTCAATGTGCCTATATTTAGCACAACCAGGTCGGTTCGTCCATCCCAGCTTATGCCAGCTCACATCATAACTGACCAACCTCCGTAGAGGTCATGCTCACTGATATTTGCAGTCTGAAACGGTTCACCTCGTCTTCTCCAGACTCTAGCACGCCTACCTGTGAAGTCATAGCATACTCATCAGTGAATAGAGCGTGTCTCCAGTGTTGCACGGTCCACCGTGTATGCGGGCCTGGTGATGTCGACGCGTCAATGGATATACGTATGCAAGGTCTTCTCGACCACAAATTTCCTTCATGCAGCCTTCTACGTGCCGTCTGCATGGAAACACGGATCCCCGCATTATTATCAAGGTCATTTCGAAGAGAATTTGCATTTAAAAATCTTGGACAACGTGCCTGAACGACCAAAACCGATCCTGAGCTGGTGCTGTGATCCTTTGCCGACCTCCAGCATGCCTCCTGGCTGGTGTACCATGTAGCCGGTATCTCTCCCAGGCTCTGGTGATGACTGTTTGGTGTACATGCCTCCAGATTCCTGCTAATTCTAATGAAAACTTAAGGTAAAATATTTTGAAGTGAACAAAGAAAATAATTTGCTCGTTGCAAATAGCTTTGGCAATTCACGTAATTACCAAAAAAGGGCAAAATAAGCACAAATAACCATTACTGAGTTATATTAGTATATTATATTAGTAGTAACGCACTAGACATATGGTGATAAATACTGCAAAATCATTCCTTAGTCGCTTCTTATTTAAATCTTAAATCTTTTACTTTTCTTAAAATCTCAGTACAGTTTTCTCAAGGTTAATTTTCTGAGAATATTTTGGCTCATCTGGAGGCATGCAGCTTAAAAGATTCTAGTAGCAACACGCGGTTACTGTATCAATGTATAGTAGTATATGACGAATTTATGGATTTGGGTAGTAATTGTGTAATTTGAGTGTATTTGGGTAAAAAAGTTTGACTTATATAATGCCAAGAACTTACTTTTAAATAACTAATACGTATTATTCAAATATCATTTTTGTTCGGCTATAATTCATCCAAAAAACTCCCTTTGCTAACATGAAAGATCTAAATTTGATTTATTACCATGTCAAATGTACAGCGTGAAGCAAAACATTAACATAATCAATTGCCAAAAAAATATATGTGTCAGACTAAAGATCAAAGACATGTGCAATTTTATCGATGTACTATACATAATTTTATTACTTTTAAATGGTAGTAAAATTAAAAGAAAGAAAAAAGAGGGAGTGAACATTGAAATACCCAACATCAAAAATTTGATTTAGTGTGCGTAACAAATATGTCAAAACTGGTAGAACGTCTGGTCCAAGGGAAATCACTTTGGTTCACAATTTAAATAGAGGCGTTGAAAGTTATCGAAGGTTCTATCGTATTTAATCTATTTATTTAAAAAATATGGCCTCGTGCATTGCATTATCAAATTATACTCACCACTACAGACTTCGCCATTTCAGGTAGTAGGAGTTAGAGTATCAGTTATGTCAGTTCAGTAGCGGTAGTAAGTAGCAGCAGCAGCAGCAATCAGTAGTGGCAGATGCAAAGAGTGGACAAAAAACATTTTGTTGATTATTTTGTACTTCAATAATGTAAAGCTAAAGTTGAAGATTTCAGTTGTTGTTGTTGTTGTTGTTGTTGTTGGTTTTTTTAATAAATTTACATGTAATGATTTATTTTATAAGACTTAAGTACTGAATTAAATGTGACCAAGAAAGAACAGCCGTTACAGTATGGCATAATTTCTCGAATTTTGATTTGCTATATTAGCTTTTTGTCCGATGACAAGTTCATGTTGGACTAGATGATACAATACTATTACACATGCTATAATTGTATATAAGTATATAATGCAATAACAAGCAAGGTCTTTTACGCACGCAAGAAATGGTTGGGTCAGTTGTGCACTGCATACCTTTAGAAGAGCCGAATAATATGCTATATAAGAGGAAGCGTTACACCACAGTAAATCATACGTCTATTTCAAAATCATATAAAACATGTTGTTGTTTTTTCATAATACATGATCAAATAAGACCTTTATCCCTAAATTGATCAAGTTGATACCATATACTTGCATTGTTAGTTTTCACCTAGAGTTGCATTCAAGATTTTGTACATGTGCCATACTTATGTAAGTTCCATGGCAATAAAAATCAGGTCCAAGTGAACACGGGGTTTTATTATAATCAGAGTCCTGGAACATGTAAAATATGGCCTTGATCCATTAGAACATTTTAATTTTTGTAAAACTAAGGTAATTATAGATTTAACGAAAACGTTTTTAATATCTTTATTGAATAAAACTTTAAGAAAGCACATTACATATTACAGATATGCAGTAACATATTTCCAAAAAAATATATGACACGGATTACATATATTATAAGACAGTTCATTACAAAACAGACATGCAATAACATAATTACAAGAGACATGACAGGTTGCATATATTATAAGATAGCACATTACAAAACAGATATACAATAACATAATTGCAAGAGACATGGCGGGTTACATATACTATAAGATAATACATTACAAAACAGATATGCAATGACATAATTACACGAGACATGACGGGTTACATATATTATAAGATAATGCATTACAAAACAGATATACAATAAGATAATTACAAGAGACATGACAGGTTACATATATTATAATATAGCACATTATAAAACAAATATGCAATAACATAATTGCAAGAGACATGACGGATTACATATTTTATAAGATAGCACATTACAAAACAGATATGCAATAACTTAATTACAAGAGACATGGCAGGTTACATATATTATAATATAGCACATTATAAAACAAATATGCAATAACATAATTGCAAGAGACATGACGGATTACATATTTTATAAGATAGCACATTACAAAACAGATATGCAATAACTTAATTACAAGAGACATGACGGGTTACATATATTATAATATAGCACATTATAAAACAAATATGCAATAACATAATTGCAAGAGACATGACGGATTACATATTCTATAAGATAGCACAATACAAAAAAGATATGCAATAACTTAATTACAAGAGACATGACGGGTTACATATATATTATAAGATAATACATTACAAAACAGATTTACAATAACATATATACAAGAGACATGACAATTTACATATAACATAGCGCATTACAAAACAGAGACAATTACATATTTACAACAGACATGACAAATAACATACAATAACATGAATAATGCATAATATACATGTACATAAATGGCATAAACATATAGCGCACCCATTATTATTTATATATTACATCAATTACAGAACACTACGCACACAGAACATATTCAACACCATATTTACAACAAATTATACATGTAGAACTGAGTGAAAGCACTAGCAATATCCAGAAAATTACACTGAATATTCTCAAAGCACATATGAAATGAAGGACTTATCTTAACATTCGTAGCACAAATAACTCCGAAGAAAAAAATAGTCCTTACACTTTTTTAAAAACATTTTTTCTTCGGGGTGTACAAAAGAAAAGTTTTCTATGCAAAGGAAGCTTATATAAATCATATCATAGACATGTCGCTTGAGGCTATTACGGAAAATTACACATATTCAGTTAGAAATCGTTTTAGCTATTACCAAAACGCACTGTCGGGCTTTACATAAACATATGCATGAACATTATATATATAAGTTAGCACTAAAAGCATGAGGATGGACTGGCATGTCCGAGGACCCAATAATAAAAATACCCAAAGAGAGTGTTCACAGTCTCTCGCACAGTCTATTCCACTTTTTCACTTCTTGTAGATATTTCCTGTTTTTACCGCCCAGTTCCGGTGATGTCACTGACTTCCCTCAGTAGCCCGGATGTCGATATATTACGTTTCGCATAATCATCCCATACACGGCTCAGTTCTTTGTTTATCTGCACATATTTCTTTCTTTGGTATCTTGAAGTCATGTGCTCGCTCACACAACGTATCTCGTAGTCCACCCATCCGGCTTCTTTAAACAATAGTACAGTAAGGTCATACACCGGGAGTTTGAACCATCCAGCCCTACCAGTGATTCTGCTATGCCAACCTGAAAAATGACAAATGTGGAATAAGATATGTTAAACATAAAACAAAAAATATGCATTTGACAAGAACTGAAGGTATCTGGAACATACTTGTTGTTAAATAGTCTACCCAGTCATGCCTCAAGTGGTAAACTTTTGTACAGCGTTTTATGGAAGTCAAACTGTCAGTAATTATTTCACATTATTTCACATTACATATAAGGTCATAAGCATATACACTGTTCTGAATAAATGATTACAACATTATAAAATTTAAACACATGATTTAAAAACGAAAGAAAATATTTATTTCTCATTGAGTTAATTAGCCAATAATAAATTTCAAATTTTGAAATCACTATGTAAACTAACATTAAAGGTTACCTACCCTTCACATCATTGTTAGTACGAACTTGTTGACCATAGACCGACCAGTTCTCGGGACCCCACTGCGCACTAGAAATCCAGGCGGTGTCAATGTAAGAAATAACACGTTTCACGGGTTCTGTGGCACCGGCTGCAAACTCTCGCAGTTTCTCGAAGGATGGCTTGATATGCTCCGTCGGTAAGTATGGAAGACACATAAAATTGCGTAGACACCGATAGATACCCTCCTTCTTCTTATACTCTGCTGATAACCCTGCTTTCTGGATCTGTCTGTAAACTTGTGTTGACCATTGGAAGTTACAGCCCTTCATATTTTTACCCGGAAATATATGTCGTACTGCTTTCCATAGATCTGTAGTATAGAAAGGAAATGGTCTGATTTTTATTTTTTATTGACGAATGAACAGCCGTAAGGTGACGTCACGAAACTCGACGTATACAGACATGAATATCTGACGATGCAAAAAATGTTCAACCAGACAGAGATGTAGATAACAGAGATAAGCAGCTCCATTGAAATATCAATTATGCCTATCACGCCTATCAAAAAGTGAAAAAATTGGTCATTTTGTAGCATTACATACATTTGATCCTTTAACAATACAATGTATACACAATTTGAAAGTTAAATCTTTTGCTGCATTTTAAAATATTGGTAACTTTCCTTGTCTTTCACTTAAGAAAAGCGTAGCAGAACCATGTCATATGTAGTTTTGTAACAAAATAAATAAGTACATGTAGTTCTCTTTAAAAATTGATGTATCATTTATTTAAATGGGAACTGTAAATGTTTTACCTGCAGCCATAGACAAATGCATAAGCTTTCTAAAAATGTATTATTTTACTGATTCTGATTAATAAGTTTTACTTGCTACAAGTTTTAAGTTTAGCAAGCACGCGAGATAAATGGTTAGGAAGTGGCCTATCTCTGTTATCTATGTCTCTGGACCAGAGAGCAATTAAAAGTTTCGTCGTATTGCAAATTTAATGAATTGTTTTTGCATAACTTTACCTTTTCAAATCACAAATGTTAATTATGTTTGGTCCAAGTATTACATTACTTAATTAATTGCATAAATTATAGTACTTTATAGAACAGCTACACACTACATAGAAATTGGAAAGAAAATTTAAAGAAAATCAGTGACGGACTGAGACGGACGGAAATTGAGAAGCAGACCTGGATGTTTCATATAATGCGCCTTTTCGCATAGGAACTCGAGAACGGGACCGCAGATTGCGGCGTATATTTTCGATCGTGTAACGGTTTTTAAAAACGTTTCTGCTACATCTAAATATCTTTTAGTATTATCCGAGTGTATGGACTCAAAAAATATATTATCAATTGAACCCAATCTGTCTCTTTTAAAACTGGTCAAATTTTACGGTATTATAAAAAAAGACTTTTTTCAATATACCGTAAATTTGACTGATTTTTAAATTAGCAGATTATATTAAATTGAGATTAGATAATTAAAGACCACCCGCTCGCATAATATGAAAAGATATTCAAAGGTCGGACAAACTATATGTAAAGCCGGTAAGGATTCGGATTTATGCGCCGCAATATGCGGTCCTGTTCCAGAGTTCCTATGCCTTTTCGTTGGTCCAATTTCCCATTATGTTCATAGAAGGTGTCAACTATGCCAAAATGACTTACTATAATAGGTGATGAATTCCATTATTTGATGGTTTGTAATTATTTTAACGAAAAAAGAAAGCAGCTTTTTCCAAACTTGTTTCACAGTATCCAAATAACGTTAAATACCAAGAACTTCTTAAAAGTCGAAACAGCGAAATCCTAAAAAATCTTAGCCTCTTCATATCGTACATCATGAAAAAATTTACACTTAAAATAGTATTTCACTCAATGACATTCCATAGTAACAGTAATGAATGAAGTGAATTACTTTACACGCTTTCCACGTGCGTCATTTTATCTCCAAAATTAGATCGGTGTCCCCATACTTAACTTTGTTAAAAATAAAATAGAATTGTTTCTAGTTGAATTAATACATGTACTATTTTTCTTTTTATTATCTACCCAATACGTAAAACTGTTTCCATCTGATACCTACATATGTATTTTTTACATGGTTATTGTAATGTCTGTTGTTACAAAGGTGACCTTAAAAAATATTGTATTGCTTTGTTTTCTTAGAAATATAATGGTTATGTAAAGAAACCTACCGGCATCAAAATCGAGCATAAAAGCTTCCACCTGTGGTTGCCCCAAATGTACCTTCAAACAACTTAGTACCTGAAAAAAATTCAATACATGTTATTGTTTTCTAGAACAACTAAAATTAGTCAACAAGTGAAATCAAAGACAACAATTTTATTTTTAAAAATATTGTGACATCTTTAATTTTGACTGGACTTGGTCAATAAAAATCTGAACATTTTGCATAATTACAACGAGACTAGACGTGGTGATTTTATATGGGTTGAATTAATCAGTTAGATCTGGCATATTGTACTTATTAAAACTATTGAAAATAATTAAAAAAACATTAAACAAGACATTATCAATTTAGTTCATGAATTTGTGTGGGAAGTACGTGAGACGTACAATGTCACTCCAATAATAATAATAGTTATAATACAAATGCAATTTATTTCAAACTCATATGTAAGTTTTATTTTTGTATATATCGGGCTACAAAAAAAAATAAAAATCCCTAAAGATTGAAATTGAAAATGTTGCAGGCTCGGTTTGTTTGAGCCTGTTCATGAACACTTACATTTTATGGCGAAATTGCTACAGAAATACAGATGCTTACTTGACAGGACAGGATTTGATAGAGTCGACTCATATGAAATATTTTGAAACGAACTCGATTTTATTACTAAAACTCCCTTTCTGATTATTATTTAAGGATCTTGTATGGTTTATTATAATGATAAAGGTGTGTTACATACCTTGATATAATCACTCCTGCGTCTCCTTGACAACAATATGTACACAATCGGCACCTGTTTAGAATTGTCACCCGACCTCACAAAACGATGTATGGTGATCAGCTGAACAAACGGGTGTTGTACCATCTTATATGTTCCCCCAATGAACCATCTACGGGACTCACGGATGAGTTCTAATTGGTCTTTCTTCACGAAGATTAAATGGCGCATACCTTCAAATTTGATGTCATCTAAAATAAACTTGTCACCAAAGTCCTTCTCTATCTGAAATGTAGCAAAAATATGATCATGTCAAAATATACGTTTTCACTTTAGTTTGCATATTGTACAGAATTGTCTATGTACATTTCTCGCTTTATAGCCTTACGAACTGGTCAAAACAGTCTTTCTGTTATAAACAGGCGGCTAACATAACATACCGTTTAATACAAGTAATATGATGGAAAAAAATCTCGGCAATTTTTGCATAACCCAGTGCTCTGATTGTATTCACAAAAAAATTATTGACGACATAGATAAAGTGAGGCACTAATCCTATTTTACATCCAAATGATGGTAATTTATTATTTACCATAAAAAATGAAAATTAAACAGCTCCACTAAAGTCAAAGTCTAAAACGTAAAAATATTTTTTTCAGAAATCAAGCAAAGCATCTAAAATGGAAAGATCTGCAAAAGATAATAAAGAAATATGCTCAGAATTAAATTAAAAATCGGTTCTTTGTGCGATTCTTAGCCCGATTTGAGTGAAAAGCGTTGCAACGTTTTTCATTTTTCGGTTATTTTGAACAACAAAAATGATGATTTTTAAAAAAACGGGGAGAGGGAATGATCTGAAAATTTGCATGAAATTTATTGGTCTAGACATACATCAAATGGTATACAAATTTTTGGGAAAATATTTCCAGTAACGTAATGTAACAAAACCAGTGGAGTCCCTTAAAATCGTAAGAAGAAATTAGATGAAAAATTATTTCTGAACGGGAGCGCATTTTTATCCATTCGCATCAGTTGTTTTTTGTTGTTGTTGTTTTTTGTTTGTTTGTTTTTTTTTTGTTTTTTTTTCTTTAATAAAAATAAACCGCTTATACAGTTTATCCGATATCTACTTTCTTAACATGTATCCATTTTTTGTCAGCCTTAATAAGAGTTTGCGAGCTTTATCATGTTCAACGAAATAATGGAATTCGTTGCAAAAACATAAAGTAAGAATAAAATGTACATTTACAAGTATTTCAAACTTTTCTTTAATGTGTGTTCTTTATTAATATTCTTATTGTATTTCTATTGTACACGATGAAACAAAAGAGCAAAAGACGTACCTCAAAATCAAGGTCTGTAAAATCTTCAAAATAGTCTGAGGAGTCAAATATATCCGACATATCCATGACAGGCTCTTGAACATTGCTGTCCTTCTCGCTGGCTGTATTTTCATCGCTGCTGTACTTTTCGTCGTCTGACTCTTCAACACTACTGTCTTTTGCGTTGGCTGACTCACTACAATTCACACATTTCCACTCAAGCTGAAGTTCACCTTTACACATAAGACGATAGTCCTGTAGGGAAATACCTATAAATGAAAAAAGAAATTGATATACATGTACATGTATAAAAAAAAAGAGGAAAATACACAAAGTTAGTGATCATGAATATTTGCAATATATGTCCAAATGTTAATGGTATTATGAAAAAAAAATTAGCCAAAATATTGTTTTCTACCATTCTAAATTGTTTACTGTTATAGTTGGTTTTTGCGTTTTGTAGATAAAAATCATAAAAAGTTTCATGGCCTCCTCCTTTTATTTGACTTTATTCAATGACAACTGTCTCATCAAAACATTTTTTTAATTTTAAAGTATGATATTGACAAGAGAATATGATATTTGAAAATGGTACGTTGATGATACTCAAGTTTTTTTCTCTAAATACTGGATTTATTTTCATCGAGTGGCATGAAATAACATAACATAACATAACATAACATTTATTCAGTATTAAATGTTACAACATTTTTTAACCATTTCAATCTATAATCTTGATAATCATGGTCACGTGACAAGAATGGACGCGTTTTTGTCCGCTCTGTGAAAAAATTGTTGTTTGAGGATTTTTTAGTATTTTGGAAATAAACTGATTAAAAATTTGTGAACTAGTGGATGGATTATATATTGTGTAATGCCTAAATCAGGAAAAAACTCAATAAACGGAAAAAGGGAAGCAGTACTGATGACGAAAATATAAACATTTGTAAAAGATACATGTCTAGAGGCCCGGCAGAGGAGCATGAAGGTAGTACTTTTGTTAGTGATATTTTGAATGAGGCTAACTCTGTCATCTATAACATTAATAACTCTGTTTTTGATGAATCTACAAAAAATATCGATTCAGTACAAGATACAGGTACTCTGAGTACTTTAAACATGTCTAGTAACTCCAGCGGCGGCGGGAGCA